AATTAGTAATAATTAAAGAGATTAAAGAGATTTTAAGAAATTACATAAGCAAGTTTGGTTCAGCCCCGCCCGAGAACTATTTTTATTTGTAAATGTACGGAACTACACGGAACTACGCAAAAATAAAAACGCACAAACGTACAAATCCTTCCACACACAGAGCATATATTTATATATATATGTACATATATATCTTTTTATATCTCAAATACCTGAAATACATGATATTGCCTGGTTTTAACTTTGAGCGCTTATAGGCCAAAAATGATTTATAGGATTGAGTTGTGACAATGATAACTTTTGATTAGCATTGCATAAAGTATTATTTCCTAAAAATTCCGCCCATTTGAGTGAAACTCATTTTCCATAAGAAAAGTGCGGGGTCCTTTCACTGTATATTAAGCTATTTGTTTTACTGTATATTAAGCTATTTCAAGTTGCTTGAGTATTAAACAGTAAATGTACATATATAGGTTATAGATTGAATGTTAAATTCAACAAATAAAGATATAGAAATTATAAAATTATAAAGTATAAGTTATAGTATATATATATATATAAAACGTATAAAATTATAAAATATAAGTTTACAAATAAATTAATACAACTTACAAATTCTGGAAAAGATTAATATTTACAGAAGAACTGTTGTCACTACACAGATATTCACAATAAGCTTACATGTCTTTATAAACGTTATCTCCTTCCTTTTCTTTTTTTCTTTTTTGTTTCTTTGTAGTAGTGATGGTGACGATGTGTGATAAAAACCTGTTATGTAATTTTACTGTAAAAACTTATCAAAGCAGATATTACAGCAACAGATACGATTCAACAGTAAGCGCAAATATACGTTTTGATATGTGTGACAATCACTCTGAAGAAAAAACAGAATAGTAATCTCATACAATGACGTGCAGGATAAAGATCTAAAAAATACACTTTGGTTTTTATATCGTATTGTAGATCTTTATACATTGTAGGTTTATTGTAGTTACTGCAAATATAATGTNACACTAAGTTTTAGTCTCAGAAAAAAACACGTAATAGAATGGTAACTACTTTTGCATGCGTGTATACGTTCATGTGTTATATGGTGAAACAGAAACACGTCTAAGTCGCAAAAGTGTTGGAAGATATGTAAATATGTAATGTACGATTGTATGTTATCATGTATGTCCAAAGTTATACGGGTGTTTACTGTAACTCGTACATTTAGAATATCTTTATTGTTAGTAATAATACAAAAAAATACCAGAGAGAAAAGTTGTTTGTTTTGAGGAGGCAAATATTATGATATACAGAAAAATTTTTCAAAGTCATATTTTTTTAAATTTCAAGATCATTACCATTATTTCAAATAAGATGGCATATTTTCACTAACGCAGTAATGTAATAAACAAACATTTAACCGTATAATATTTGTTGACCTTAAGATAGTCTCAAACATTAAAAAATCATATTTATGTAGGAAAACACTGAATCAACTAAATACGTTTTCAATACTTGTTTATTT